GCTCATTAGGTATGCAAATGAGGCTTGGCGATATTCCACGCTTAGCCTCATTTGCATATTACTCCCGCAAGAAGCCGCGAGTGTAGGCGTAGCCTAGATGTTTCCATTAGAAGGGGCACAGAGAACTAGTTGTGCAGGGAAGAGTTTGCATCAGTGCTTTCTGTGACATCACATCTTGTAGCCAATAAGTCTAACCTTGCCTGCAAACTGATATATTCATCTATAAACTTTTCACTGTTTTCATTCCATTCTAGCAGTGATGCAAGAACCTACAGGAATCTTATCCTGTAGGAAGTCAGCTTTGGCAGTAGGGTAGATTAATTAGAAGCAAGGAATAGTATTATATACAGATACTAGGTGGCTGCACCTCTTGCTCACCAACCCCCTCTGAATGCCACAGCCAGATCGTGGCCTCTCTTCCTACACTATATGACGGGGGGGGGGGGGGCACCACCAGCCCTTTCTGCGGCCAGATGGGGATTGGATCATGGGGCCGGCCCAGGATCGGGGTTGGGGACAGGACACTGCTACCCAGTGGGGGCTGTGCCCTGACTGGGGCCTTGTTGGCCAGGCTTCATTTTTAATAAAGTAAAATATTATGTCCACCACAAAAAGGTTTCAACATTGTCTTTATTTATGGCAGGGTTGGGGAACCTCTGTTGGGGTCAGGGGCCATTGACCCACAGAAAAATCAGTTGGGGACCACACAAGTAAGAAGGAAAAAAAGCCCCTCCAAAACCCCCTACCCTGCACTGATGTGGTCCCCAACTGAAACACCTCACTCCCCTGGTGCTCCAGACCCATGGGGGAGGGGGCAGGATGGAGGTTCAAGGCCTCAGGCCAGATTAACTCTTCTGAAGTTAGAAGGTTAGTGGATTTGGGGGGCTCCCCCTAGGCTCTGGGCTGGGGCCAAAAATGAGGGGTTCAATGTGCAGGACAGGGCTGCCAGTGAGTGGGATAGGGATGGGGATGTAGGATCTGGGCAGGAGGTGGGATGCAGAAAGAACCGAGGGTTCGAGTGCTGGGGGGAGTTAGGGTGCAGGAGCAGGCTGAGCGTAGGGTGTCTGGTGGGGGGGGGCTCCACGAGGGATGTTAAATGAGGCTCGCGTGGTGCCCATGAGCTGGGTGATCAGAGGGGAGAGGGATTGGCCAAACATTATTGCGTTGGACGATGATGGGGTTTCCTGCCCCGCCATGCCAACTGGCGTTGCGCACCAAATAGGTGCACTCCTCCAAGTCTACAATTTCGCTACCATTTTCTAAAGAGACGCGCCCCAACCAAATGACTACCGGTTCTCCGGGGCGTCTACGGGTGGCTTCAGCCAGTTCCCTCCTTTCCGCCGCCGTGCGGGTGCGGACGACGGATTGAGTCATGGTGTTACCTTGTTGGTCCACCAGGTGCTTGGTAACCACCATGGGGCAAACCTCCCGGGGCCGGTTATCTTCTTCGGTGGGGGCGGGAGATTTTTCGGGCAGGAGTGGGGCAGGCGGGGATGGGGCCAGGGTGTCTGGGCAGGAGGGAGGGGCCAGGAGCAGGCTAGGGCAGGGTGTCTGGGTGGGGGGAGGGGAGAAGAAGCAGGCTGGTGGTGCAGGGTCTGGGCATGAGAGGTTGGAAGGCACTTACTGGTCTTTGAGCCCCGTGCCGGTCCCTGGCTTGGGCTCCCACTGCTCCATTAGCCAGATTCTGGCCAATGGGAGAGCAGAGAAAGCCTCCAGACACCTCACTCAGGCACTGCTGTTTTCCCAGGTTGGGGGGGGAGCACTTTTTCCCCACACGGTGAGGCTCGTCTTTCTCTCCACACCCTCCCCCTGCAGTGGGAAGCCAGTGCTGGTGCTCCAACCGTGCAGGGGAGGAAGGAGGGTGGGGCTGCAGTGCCAGGCAAAGGGGGCTCAGGCCGTTCAGGTCAGTGCTGCTGGTGCCTCCTCACCTGCCTTGCAGAAGCACTGCTCACTGCAGCAGACCTTTGTGTGGCTGGGTGGGAGGGAGCCAGTCTGGGCTTGGGTCTCACCAGGGCAGCTCTGTGCTGGGCTCAGGACGCAGCCACTCAGGGTGTGGCAGAGGATGGGGCAGAAAGTGGCCAGGGACAAGGGGAGAAAGAGGGGGCGCCTTGTCCTGCACCTGGTGCTTCTCCTGAGCCTGCTGGCCCAGCAGCCCGTGAACGCCAAGAATGACAGCAGCGTTGCCCTGAAGCAAGCTGTGGCGCTCTGTGACATGGGAGCCTGCCTCTGTTCCCGGTACAAGTGGGCCTCGCACCAGCCGAAGCAGCTCTTGGGCTGGGGGACCAGCCGTGCGAAAGGCTGTGGCCAGCGCTGACTGGGCAGGACCCTTGGAAGGCTGAATCTCCCCAGACTGGGCTAGCAGCTGGTTTTGCTGTCCCAGTATCCAGGCAGGGACCATGTGAGCGCGGAGCCAGTGGTGTTGACATCACTCTGTTGTCCCATAGGAAATTTGTGTGTATATATATATTTAGGGAGAGAATGGCTTTCGAAATATGGTCGTATACAGTAAAATAGCATTTACATAAAATATAGTCTAAATGGTGGCAAGTGCTGGATGAACCACAAAGCAGCTATTCTATGTCCTGAAAATAGAATTATGGTACATGGTATCTGATGCCAATCTCACAGGTGCAGGTGTTATGACATAATTGTCTGAGTTTAAGAACAGTATGCTGACTTGAAGGGTCAACCATCCTACTTCTGCAGAAAAGTAGGAAGGACGCGCAACTTGCGGTATTTCTCTGAATGTTAGTCAAAACCCCAGTGCTCAGGGGGACACAACGTGACAACTCATGCATATTCAATGGGGGGTACCTTAATTTAATTCTCCAATCACACATAAGCACCCACAAATACCTTAGGGTGCAGAAATCTCTTTTGGCTTTGAGGGTTGGCTCCTAAACGACGTCAAACAGGCCTATAAACCCATGCGACTGGTAGTGTGAGGCACGTTTTGTGATGGTCATTCTCATTCTTTCTTTACTTTCTTTCTAAACTTTCATTACAAGTACTATCTGAAGACTTAGACAGTCTTCAGTTTCTTATGTTATCATCATCTCTCATCTCTTGCTGAGACCCCTGTTGTGCCAATGGAATAGGCTGGTCCTCTAACTCCTCAAGGTCATCAGGAGAGCATGAGTATGGTATTCTATTAGGTAATCACAATTGTATACTTAGGCTATATTCATCTGGGCTGACTGAATCAATTTATGTAGCCATTGCCTTAAGCATTTTACTGTGTGTATTTTTAACACCCATTGAAATAAAGATTGTCATAAGTTTGTACCAGATACATTGTGAGCATGGCTGTTCTGGGTCCCAAAACTCCCCGAGCGATCTAGAACTCACAAGTTTTTAACTTTGTGACTGGGAGTGGGGGGGATCAAACCTAGGGAACTTTCTAGTCAGATTCAGTGAGCCAAAAATCCAAATTACCGTATATTCCAAAACTCCCCAGTTTACAATCTGCCATTGTTGATGCCAGTTCACTGGGAGGGGAACTGTGTCTGGGCTGTAGATCTGTTGAAGGCATCAGCTAGACATTGAGCTAAAGCCCAGAGAAATGCAGGGCTGGGTGTTGAATATCTTATTGAAGTACCAGCTAGATCAGGGTTGGCAACCCCCAACATACGAGACAATTTTCACTGGCACACAGCAGGAGCTCAGCCCCACCCCTCCTCCCACGCACAGCGAGGAGCCCGTGCTGCCACTGAAGCCCTCCCTCTTCCCTGGCAGCAGGTTTGCTGTGGTGGGAGGAGACAGTGCTGGGGTGGAGGCAGCTGGGGCTGAGGCTCCTCAGTAGTGCAAACCCCCCATGAACCACTACAGCAGCCACAGCAGCCACTGGACCCTTGGAAGTGCCACCCCCCCTTCACTCCAGCCTGGGTCACATGGTAGGGGCGGTGGTGACAGCCCAGGCCTAGCTGGAGTAGGTGGCAGCACTGACTTGGGTAGATCCAGCTTGTGTCAGCCCAGGGTCAGTGCAGCGGGAGGGGCTGCGTCATGCTCCGTGCATCTCGGCCGCCTCTGGGGCCCCTCCCATAGTGGTTGCGCCCCCTATCCTGGCCTGGGCTTGCCTCCCCTCCCCCTGCTGATCCTGGGGCCTGGGTGTCATCTCTGGACAGCCACTGCCTGGCCAGGGTTACAGTGCTGCTGGTCTAAGGAGGGCCTAGGCCGTGTTGCTCTGGCTCATGCCTTGCCTCCCCTGTGCGGTGCCGCCCCTGGGGCCTGAAGGCCAAGCTCCTATCCAGACCTGTGCATTGGGTGCATGAGTGGCTCTGGTGCCTCTTCCTCATGGTTCACCCTTCACAAAGGGGCTGCTTTCCTGTGGGGGGTCAGAAAAATCCCCAAACCTGGGAGTGTTGGGCTGGACACCCTGGTACGTGCACTGAGAAGTGCAGTAAGTTGAGGGTCTGTAACATAAAATTAAGGTCTTAACTCTAGTGAGCAAGGCTTTGACTCAGTAGATGTGCAAGCAGGAAAAAGGGTTGGCTAAAGAGGAATAGCATAAGCCAGGTCAAGCATTAAGAACACCAAAAGGCGCCAGGCACAGACTGTAAGCACATTCCAGAGGGATCATATCAGAATGCCTCACTAAGGAAGGAAGGAATAGGAAGGACTGAGGTTCAGGGTTTCCCATAGGCCAGATTTACTTTTCTGGGGTTAGTGGATTTTATGGACCCCCTTAGGCTCTGGGATAGGGACAAAGAAAACATCGAAACCTTTCTGTTGGACATATTTTACTTTATTTAAAATGAAGTTTGATAAACTAACAGGAGAAAGTTAAAACGCTTAATCGGTTTAACAGTTTAAATTAAACTGTTCTCTCTAGCTACAGCTGGTTCAGAAAATATGATCGCTGTACCCAGTTTCCCCTGTTCCATGCTGCTCCTTGCACACATATCCATGACTAGGTTCAATCTTCGCATGCCACTTCTGAAAGGCTGCAGACCCCTGAGCTAGATACAGCATGATTCTTCCTTCTCAAAAAGTACTTGTGACGTGAAGCATTAAGGCTACGTCTACATTGGCAAGATTTTGCACAAATACTTTTAATGCAAGAGTTTTTGCGTTAAAGTATTTGTGCAAGAGAGCATCTACACTGGCATGTGCTTTTGAGCAAGAGATGTGCTTTTGCGCAAAAGCATCCGTGCCAGTGTAGATGCTCTCTTGCGCAAGAAAGCTCCAATGGCCATTTTAGCCATCGGGCTTTCTTGTGCGAGAAAATAACTTGGCTGTCTACACTGGCCCTCTTGCGCAATAATACTTGTGCAAGGGGGCTTATTCCTGAGCGGGGGCGTCATAGTTCTTGCAAAAGAAGCACTGATTTCTTACATTAGAACATCAGTGTTCTTGTGCAAGAACTCGCGGCCAGTGTAGACAGGCGGCAAGTTTTCGCACAAAAGCAACCGCTTTTGCGCAAAATCTTGCCAATGTAGACACAACCTATGTGTCTCATCCCTGCCTCCTCCCTTTCACTCTGCACCCCACTCCCAATACTTACACATATAGATAAGAACTTTGGTAGTTGTGGGGTTCTCAGAAATGGCAGCACTCCAGCCATGATTTGTCCATGATTTGGGGGAAGGAAGGGGAAAGGTTGATTAGAAGTGGAGGAGGAAGTGTTAGTGTTTGGCGAGAACCTAGCATTTTTGGGATAAGGGGAGAGGCATTAGGAGCTGAGCATTACTGTGTGTTCCTGATCTCCTGAGTCAGCCACTAGCTCCAGTCCTAGAGGGATAAACCTGCATTTCACCCAAACACAGAAAACAAAGGGGTGAGATCACTGCTGCCATCATTATAGAACAAAGCAAGGACTGCATGTAACTATGGAAACCTGCACAGGCCTCTCATTTTAGGGCTAGAGCTTTAGAGAGTCTACATTCAGATAAAATCTCTTGTGTGCGCTCTGGCTGACCCAAAGGCCCTGTGTGTGTGTGTTGGAGGTGAGGTGCAGGGTGGAAGGGACCAGGCAGGAATTAGATGCTTCATGTTTCTTCACTTCACTGTATAAAGACAAACATAAGACTGCATTTTGGTTCTATAACATGCAAAGCCAGGATCACACCGTAATGCTCATCCCTCAACAGCTCTCCCCTTTTCCTAGCAATGCTAGGCTCTCACCAGTTCCTAATGCTTCCTCCTCTAATCCAACCCAACCTTTCTTCTTCTTTCTTACTCCTTAAGGACAAATCATGGCTGGAGCCATTTTTGGGAGCCTCCCCATCACCCTAGAGGCCACAGCTCTTATCCAATTCCAATCCTATCCCTTTTAACATTTCTGATATCAGGTCTCCTCTTCTGTTCTACAGCAATGTCTTGAGTGATACTGATAGAACTAGTAGAATCTTGGCCAGCTCACTGGTTTGGAAAATTAATTTCAGTCCAGACCAAATAAAATGGTTTGCTTCTGTTCA